TTCTCGGGGATGCAATTCAAAAGATTTAGATGCTATGTCTCTGCCTTCACTGATGCTATTAATTGGTTTTGAGACACATCCCCATTTTGTCATTTCTAAAAGTGAAGGCTGTTCTGTGTTTTGTTAATGATGACAGCATTGCTGAGAAAAAGGAAGGCCTAAAATATTTAACTTTAAGAACATGACAGATTAAATAACCTGTGGGGTCCTAATAATCATCAATCACAATGTAGGAGATGACAAGGTGAAATTTCTAAGATGACATTTTGTCACTGGGGGTAGTCACTTAAACTGACAAAAGCTATACATTCTGCTCTGCAGCTTCTTTACTCTAATTGGGCCAATTTTACTATCATGCTATTATCCTGCACAGCAGAACTGGTGACAAACAAAGAGGCTTTTGTGATCTCAGTCGAATATTTTTCCATGAGCTCAAGAAAATATCTTCTTTGCCAAAAAAGAAAGAAAATTGTCCCTGTATTTTGTGACTGGCCAGAAGCCCAAGGCTCACGTCTGGAAAAAGTCTAATCTGTATTTTTAGTTCCTGCTTGCTTATCGTGGGATCTTGCAGAAAGGGCCACAAGTCAGGGGAACTGTAATCGTGTTTGGGATTTTTCCTGTTACGTGTTGAAATAACTTTCCTCAGGATATGGTGGGGGCAAAAGAGGGCTAAACTTCCATTCCCTCACTCTTCACAATTTTGGCAGTATGCTTTAATTTAGCCTTATTTTCTACTATGCACCAGCACATAATAATTCCCCTTTAGCATATAACAACATGAAACTTGATTGTGTTAGCACATGCTTCAGTGTAGTTATTGGGAAACTTAATCCCTTTCAGAAAAGTTTGAAATTTGGAAGAAAATTTATCATCAACAGCTACACGAAGAGTAGTAAGGAAATGGTTCTATAAGTTGTTAATGTAGTGTGAAATCTTGAAACAAACCATCTCATTAAAACCAAAAAAATCTTATATTTTACCATTCAGAAACTTTGGGCAAAAATATGTTTAGTAACGCACATTTGTTAACATGGAACAAAGTTACACTGGAGTGTAACATGGAGTGTATGTGGAGTGGGCACTTACCTAGCTGATCTAAAATACTGTCATGTCACAGAAGTGTTAGGCTGTTCAAATTTATTGCTATCAAGAAACAGTAAGCTATTACAATAAGCATTGTTTTTCTGCTTAACAGAAGTAGGAAAATGCCATTATTAATGCTCTCCATGCCTTGGACAAATACTGCCTTTGTTTTTGTCCACTGAACAAGATGTTCTATGTTATATTCATTGTTTTGGAGACACTGAAATTGGAAAACTGAAGGTAAATATTTCTCTTGATCCTTTAGCACATTTAAGTCTCCAGGTTTCAGATTAAGCATGGTGGTAGTGGGGAGTAGTAAGTCAGCATTGCATAAGGCACCAAAAATTGTAAGTCAGATTACCAAAAACATTATGTTGGTGTCTCTTTGGCTGAAGAGTTACATCTGTTTTCCCAGACTTTCACTCTTACTATTTATTCCAGCTCCTGACTTCAGTGAGAGCTGTTTTGTTACCTGAGAGCTCTCACATCTCTTTCCCAGGTACTCTGCTGTTAATTCTGCCTTCCTGAACTTCCAGGTCAAGTCTGCCTCCTTTTTGTTACGTTAATGCTGCTTTCCACATGAAGTGTGCTCATCTCCAGCCTCTGCAGCTACGTGGTGCTCCCCTAGCCCTAGCAGGACCAAGTGCCCATCATACCTCAGACCCACCTGAGCCACGAGTGCTGCTCCTCAGGCCATGACTTCTGCTACCCCATCAGTGCAGAGCCCCGCTGCTCCATGGCCTTCTTCAAGCCCATCAGCTCTGCACTTCTTGCTGTATCCAGACCAACAGCCACAGCTCTCATTCTTGTCCGTGCCCTAAATTCTGCCATCCCCAAATCCTGTTCCCCTGTGCCTCAGTGCATTAACCCTGCTCTCTGCTCCTTCTCATCAGTCCTGTCTGTACCTCGCTCCTATTTGTAAACCCCCTATATCTGCCTACTGCAGCTTCACCTCTCTTTCTTTCAAGGCTCCTTACTTCTCTGCAAGGTAGGCTGAAAGCCTCAGCAGGTTTATCTCTTCCTCTTAGGCTGGAGTCCTTTCATTGGCTTTCAGGAGGGGAGAGTTGCCAGAGCTCCCTGAGCAGCTCAGTTTTTCCTCCCAACCTCATCCCCTGTCCTGGGCTTCTTACTGAAAAGCCACAATAAACTGCTGAAACCTAAAAGGCAGGATGCCATCCTGGCAGGATAAGCTCTGGTCTCAGCTGGAAAACCCTGTTATTTGTAATAAATTTTTGAATTGGTAGATGCCACTTACTGCAAAAGAAGCGCATCAACAACATTCAGACTTTTTAGTGGTAAATTAAATTAAAATCCCAGTATGTGGCTAATAGCAAGAATGGGATGTGAAAAACTGCCTAAAGCAGGGCACACAAAAAAATTTAAGCTCATTAAGGAGCTACAAGAAACTTTTAATTCTGAAGTTGGAGTAATTTTCATAATCACAGATACACTATGGATCAGCACCAGAGGCTGATAATGAGGACATATCAAAATGCATGATTAAGGAATGAAGTGTATTTTGAAGGAGTCTGCATCTAGTAGCATGCATTCTGGCAGAAAATTCTTCCAGGAGATGACAGGACTTAAAAAGAGGTCTTAAACGGGACTGACACAAAGCAATATACTAATTATTTGGCAGTGCATAATATCTTTATTTAGAACAATAAAGTATATGTATATAATGTAAATTCCAAATTTGAACTGGTATAAAAAAGGATCAGGGAAAACACCTATCTTTAAGAGGACACATATATACATACACATCACATTTTATAAACTTTGTTGATTACCTTCAGTCAGAATGTAACTATGCAAGACTGTGCTGACATTTACATTGAAATAAATGAATTTGCCCATGATACAACCAGCAAATTGTGTCTCTATCGCTAAAGAGCCTGAAGTTTCCGCGTTCCATCAATTTGATAACATAATAGCAACATGCCACCATTACTGTAGATCTGCATTTAATAGACAGTTGAATCAGATTCCTGAATTGAAGAATGCTGGATAATTCTTAAATGTAAATCTAACTCAAAATATCTGTGTTTTATACATACAGTTAGCTTTTCAATTTAATAGTTGTGTTGTGTGTACTGAACAGTTTCTGCATATTACAAAGAGAGAGCAACAGAGAAAACAGCTGGTGAAGATCAGAACCTAAAAAATGTGCAGGTTGTACACATACTCCATAGTATAGCACATTTTATAAGCTTACTTATAAAATGACCTTGTGATGAAATAAGTACCATTAATTTATTCAAGTAAACACATCTAAAGTAACACATTGAGTTACTTAGTATATCACTATCTGCTTTTTATTCTCACAAGGCCACTATTAATTGCATGCAAAGTTCAACTGCTCCAAAGGAAACCTAAAAAATTTTAGTTTCTCACAAAACCACAGATATCTGAAAACCAAATTTGGTTGACATTTGTATAAAAAATACAACACTCGCTCTTCCCCAATTTCATTTTAAGAGAAGGGCATTCATTTTCTAACTGTGTTAATGCATGGGCTGTGTCTACCCAAAAAAGAAGACTGGAAAACTGATCACTCTTCAGAAGTTAAACAGCTTACAACTGGATAAAGAAGCAATTAAAGGATTATTTCTGTCATCACTACTACCACTGAACAGTAACTTACTCTATTTCCATTTATTTCAAAGATGTCTCACAAGTCAGTAGTGTTTCAAAATTTCACTACATCTGAAGCAAGGGCCTCCTCAATGGGTAGACAAACTGAGCACAGAAATTTTCAAATAATTTCATGGTCACATTTCCAAGTGTCATGCCATCCACTGTATCCATGAATGTCTAGAAGTGTCCTTCTGCTTTGCAAAATGATTGAGAACACACAATGTTTTGTTCAGATCTCTCAAAAGGGGGTGGGAAGAACAGGAAAACTATGAGCTCCAGCAACAGTTCTGCTACTCCATGTGTCATACTACTTTGGTGCATATTCAAAGAACAATGTTTGTGATGTGAAGTTGGAAGGTTTATACATGAATTTTCTTTCTGTTCTCATGTAGCCTTAAGTTTGCCTTGCTCCATGGAAGAGATTAAAGTATCTGACATTATTTGAAAGTGACAATTTGAAAGTATCTGACATTATTTAAAATACCTACTATTTTAAGATGTTACTCTTGGAAGTTGAACATTTTGCAGCAGTCTGTCTGGGTTTAATGTATGTTTCAATTTACAACTCATATTTTCTTTAGTATTGACCAGTAGACTAAGGAGCCTAAAACTTCATGCATTTTGAATATCAAAGTATAACTTGGGGCACACCAATGTGCAACATTATTGTGTATTTGATTTTCTGGAAAAAACGCATTCAGGAAAACTAACATTCTTATGAACAAAGAACATTAACAAACACATTTTTGTTTAACTGAATCTAAGAAAAATACTGTAAAACTTCAAATGCATAAGCTTGCTTTAAGAATGTATTGTATATCAACATTAAGTATTTTAGGTTTTTGTAAAATGCATAAGGATAACTGCTTCCATTTACTGTGGATACTTTTTCGCTCTGCCAAAATTAGTATGCAGTTATTCCCCACACTACAAAAAAGGTACAAATTTCCCATCCATTAGGTCATGCTGACATTTCTTTCAGGGTAACTCTTAAATAAGTTTGAAACACAAAGTCTGAGGGCCTTGTGAGTAAAGAACTACACAATGTCAAATGAGACTGAGCTGCAGATGGGGAATCCTGTTGTTTAATTTTTACAGAGCTAAAATTTGCAATGCACTTGCTTTTTAGAAGTGATGAGCAACCTTGATTATTTCTTATTAAGTGGTGAGTGCTCCAGCATCTTCTGAATAAAAATGAAGGCCTAATTATCACATTAAGCTTCTTTTGATCTAGTCTAAGAGAAGTTCCTCAGATGATGCAAACCCCAAAGCTTTGTTAACGTTAATGGAACTATGCTAATTTATACCAGTTGAGAAGGACTTGAGGACCCTTTTCTGACACCCAGGAAGTGCAAAAAGGCCTCAGTATAAATAAAAAGTAGTTCCCCATGATCAAATCCTTGTATCAGTGAAATCACAAGAAGTTTTGACGTTGATCTCAGTAGGGTCAAAATTCCATGCAGAGTGGCTACATGCACACATAAGCTCTGTCATCAAACATAGTAAGGTTTTGAGGTTTTTTCTTTTTGGGAAGTATGAAAGGTGAATCAGTTTTACCAATAATACACACACACATGCACACACACACACACGTATATATTATATCTATATCATATTCCTTTTACGCATGGTTCTCAGAAAATTCAGCAGATGATTTAAATTTCCACAAGAACTCTTAAAAAATTAAGTAATGATATACTTTAAAGAGAACTCCACCTTTATGCAAAACATTAAAAGGCTGGTGTGTTTGGTTTTTTTTTCTAAGTTTTCAAGTTACTTAAACTAAAACTCTTGCTGACCTGGTCAGTTTGATGACAGATGACAGTTTGTCACCTGAAGTGAGCCACCTTTACCTTCTGAAGTACAAAGCCCTAATACAGATTAAATAATTCATACCCATTATCTGGAAAGAGCCAGGATGAAAAGATGCACAACTACACTTGTAACTTTTATCACGGTATTTTTAGGATTTACTTGAAAATGCATGTCTGTACGTCAGTCCTGTACAGATTCCATGGATGCTATAACAGCAATAGGTGCAGAAGACAAGTGGGAAATAAAGCCTTTCTCTTTTGTTTAAAGAGAATTAACTTTAAGAGTGGAGAATGCCAGGATATTAAAGCGTACTAATCATTTAAAACACAATGCAAACATAAATTACAGCTGATGTAAGTAAAAGCTAAATACACTCTCAAGATCTTTCAGATTTTCTATGCTATATATGTAAAGACAAGGTATCAATGGCATGATTCTTCAGCATTTAAAATGCATTTCATGGGTTTGTCTTTATTCTGATGTTTGAACACAATTCAGACTCTTTCCTTTCCTTTCCTTTCCCTTCCCTTGGCATGGCTGGAAATTTCACCAGTGTTCACATACCCAGCAGTTACTCTTAATGCTTCGAAGCTCCATGAGGTACATTCACCTCCTGTTTACTTTGTCTTCATTCAGTATTTGCTTCTCCTGAACAGAGACCACCAACGCTGATCAATTCTTGAGACTTTCTGCGGTGGGCAACCAGCCACCTGGCACCTGACAGAGACCACATGTTGCCGTACACACGACCTTTGCCAGGCATAAACACAGCTCCTTATAAGTAAAAGGCTAGAACACAGGTCCATAGCATGACTTGGCTTTCAAGTTTTATATACAATATTGAAGAGTATGTTATCTGTATCCATTTCTGCGTTTTCTGTCAGTTCAGAGAACTCCATCTGAAGACACCAAGGTAAGGTAGAGGACACAGAACTTAAATTAAGGATGCAAAGGTATTTATGACTTTCAGTGATTATACACATAGTTGGAGGCATTTGAAAGATGCATTTTGTTCAGTACATGTACTTTGTTTGCCAGTCAGCTGCAAATATTAATGCAATTAAAAATCCCCAAATGCCACACAAGGTAGATATTCACATGAGATACAGTCCTGCTAAGTGCACACTCTTCTTGTCGTTGTTCAATTCAGTGTTGGTTTCACAGTAACAAACACAAATTGTCCTCATTTCTATATCATGTCTATGGAGTCATGGGCAGCAACAACAGATGCAGACTCAGTCTGTCACTCCAGAAGGAATATGAATGTGCTTAAAACTGCTTCATTTATGAAGCGAACATGGAACTGTTACCTGCCTGAAGAGAAAAACAGAAATTATAATTTTGCTGTTTAGTTTTCCTCTCTGTATTACTAAACAGTAAAGCTTTTCACAGACATATAAATAGACATTTTTTCTTATAATTTCGGAAATAGATAAATTCAATGACACTTGCATAGACATTCCTTTATTCTGAAACAAAAATTACTGTTATAAGATGTACTTTCCTGGTACAAGAACACACTTGCCTGCAAAAGCTCATTGATGTCATCTATGGTGATGAAACAACTCTCACAGTTCTACAGAACTGTTATGTTTGTGCATTTTGGTATCTGGTAATCTCTGGCAGCAAACTTCCCTTTGAAGTCAACTGGACAAGCCAATATCAAACTGAGTTTACATCTTTTGAAAAATCAAATGACTTTTCCAATGTAGTGATGATTTCCCTTCTCAGTGAGCAGATGTTAGAATAAAGCAGTTGAGGAGATTGGAAATCTCTCAAGTTGTAGCTAACTAGATCACAATGAACACTCTGGAATACACCTGAGAGTGACTGCTACAGGATAACCTGGATTGCCTGTTATGCTTTTACAATGCTCTTTCCACCCATGCGATAAAATGAAGCATTCAGTGCTGCCTGGATCTTCCAGACCCATGCCAGCGATGCTGTGGGTTAAGTACAGCAGAACTCCTGCGGTAAGAAGCCCATTGCCAGAGATGTGCACCGTTCTGCAGAGGACAGCTGGGACCGAGAAAGCTCACGCACCTTTGCTGCTCACTCTTACATACTAAAGCAAGAATGATGTATCTGATAAGGCTACAGAGACTGCAAACTGTGCTGAGTAAACAACAATTAATAGAAGCTCAGCTCTACTTGGCTTGTTCTCCTACACTCACCCGCTAGTTTAAGGATTGTGTTTTTTAGGTCATGCTGCTTTGAAACAGCTGTAGGACAACAGCTGAAGACTTCTCCATATTGGCTCTCACGCCAAAAAGGAGAAGCAGTAGCTGTCCTTCATTTTGGAATTCTGGCGTATTTTACTTTGTAATGTTCAGGTTAAAAGTCAGACACCTAAATTAATGATACAGGATTATTTACATTAGCAGCTAAAGATCTTAGGTACAAATGAAGCCTACTGATAACAAGTTTTATTTTATTTTTCCCCAAATGGATTCTGAATCACTTTACATTTCAGCAGCCAAAAGTTATAAAGCCTATGGTAAGACTCTCAACAGTAACAACTTACCAGTACACGAAACAGTAACAGTGTTGAGGGAGAAAAAGCAACAGCTACACTTGTAGATGTTCTTTTTCTTTTTGCTGCAACATACTGAAAAAAAAGGTACTTTATTAATAGAGTGCTAGTGTTTCAAGGAAATAGAATGGAAGGTACTATCAGTTAGTTACAATAAAAACATTTACATGTAATAAAAGGGAACCCGAAGCATTAGAATTTTTGTTTGCTAATAGGTCTTCCTAGTTATAGAGGAATATTACAATTTCTCAGGGAAGAGGGAGAAAAAAACATATGCCATATATTTAAGAAGAGATCTGATGGAGAATGTAACCTGTTTAAATTTCCTGTTAAGGCCACCTCCTGCATTTAACTAATTGTTCTGTTTCCTCTTTCCTCTTTTCCTCCTATAAAGCAATATTTTATATTTCCTGTGAAGTTAAAAGTAAGATGCACATTTCATTTCACAAGTTTTAATACGTGTGAGGATGAGGTGCAGGATGAGTTATTTGTAGCAGCTAATATACTTGGTGAATACACAGTCTACCATTCTATGTACTGTACATGAAGAAAATTTGTTATAAGACTATATTATTCTAGAAGGTTTAAACACTGAAAATTTCAGCTCCTGTGACCAAAACTGCTAGATCAGAACCTCACCTACTCCTGCCTTCAACAGTGGGCAGCGCCAGGCATTTCACACAGTGTGAGAAGCCTACAAGGATAAGATCTGTCCTTCTGCCATCTGCATCAGATCTTTCCCTTAATCCCTCATAGTTAAAACTTGACCAAACACCCTGAAATATGAGGTTAAATAATACCTTCAAAATGCTTTAGCATGAACTATTCTATCTTAAAATATCCCTGAGTCCTTTTCTGAATTTCACAGACTTCTTTGCCCAAGTCATGTCCAAGCAACTTTGAATGTCTTCAACTGTTATTTCTAAGGTATATTTGATTGACTGCGTTACAGTGAGTTTTTTTCTGTTTAAAAATCAGATAAAGCATTGTTTAAGTATGAATAGAGCCATGAATCATTTCAGGATGACCTTATGAAGTTATTATGATTTGAATGAGTTCTCATTAACTTTCTATGAACATCAAAAAAACCCCGGAAAACATAGATGCTTATATATACATACCCTGGGGAATGTAAAAAGGTGAAAGAACATAAAAAATGTTAATGTAAAAAAATATTTAAAAGGATTTAGAAGCACAGCCAGGAAGACACAGTTTTCCATTTATTTACATAATATCAACCTAGCTTTACCCCACACAGCAAATTACAAAATTCACTTTCTTTTCTTGCTTCCCCTGTAGGTCTCAGCAATCCTTTCTCACAGTGGGAATAAGGACAGATGAGGTAAAGGTAATGTCCTGTTAATAAAATTTGGTATACAGAAATCTCCTCCATATCAATTTTTATATTTAAACTAGGAGCTCCTTTAAAGGACACACCCTAAGGACACATTTTGCCTCTACATCAAGACCCTGTGTTTGGGTCTTAGAGCTAGAGAGAAACCTTCAGGAAGTATCTCTCAAAGATAAACTTACATTTGTATATATGTATATAAAGTAAAACAACATACCTTATCTCATTTTCCTCTTGACAGTCATGACACTGTGTAGTTTCATCACTTTCTGGTCTGGATTTGGGATGTGTTTTCTAGGAAGAAAATGCATTAAATATAAATATTCTAAAGCTTTCTTTAACAACCCCCTAAACAATTGTTATATGTTTCAGTTTGCTTCAGATTTTCAATATCAAAGTCATCTTGCAAAATGTAGGCCAAATCTTGTCCTCTAACATACATCTGCTACTGGTATAATTTTACTATCCAAGCCTTTGCATTGTAGGCAGGGGCACAAGGGGCAAAAGCAAAAGAATCCTCTTCTCAAGATATAATAGAAGAACTGGGAAATTGGGGGAATCCCATGTTTTTAATTTCCAATTAGACAGCTATCATGCTGATAAGACAGGATTTGCACTTTGGTGGTGGAATTCAAGAATTTGGCAACATAGATTTACATTTGCATGTCACACAGTTCAGTGAAGATCAAAAGGGTTGTCTCTTGCTTTCAAATGCAGAATGATTCTGTTCTTCCCGCCTCCCCATAGCTAAGAAATGTAGTATCACTATGTAAACAATTAAATGTAATATTTCTTACCTTCCAGTATATGGCTCCCAAAATAAAGCCAATAAGAAGAGACAGCAATGATGTCAGTGCTATGCTGATCCCTTGCAGGCTGGAGCTGCTAATGAAGCCAAGTGCCTCTTCTGTAATTACAGATGTTCTCGTTAGTGAAGACAGATTTATAGCAGAAAACTACCTTCAGGGCAACACTATAAGCAAGAGCACTTTTATGCACCACCTACATGACAGCATCTTAAACAGCAGAACAGATACTTCACAGCGCTGTGTACGAGGTGCACTTCATGCAAAACCTCACAGGAAATTTTTGACCACAAGGATGCTCTGCCCATTTCTGAAACAGCTGTGTTGAATAGTACCAACACTAATTCTCTTTTTGTCATTTATAGAGAATTTTCTCTTTCCCGCACTTCAAAGTTTTGGGTTTATCAATTTTTAAAGGTCATATTTTATAACACAACGTAATTCATTAGAAGAGAATATATCTGTCACCGTGCATTTGGTTAAATTCCATAAGACATCCAACTGACTGCAGATAGACACTTTGCCTTGCCACTAATGAACGACCAACATGACGCCTCTTGAGGTAGGTTAATTTAACAAAATAAGCCTGATTTCACTTCTAATGTCTGTCTGGAAAGGTCCTGCTGACTTCAGTAAGATCAAACCCTTGTACCTTGAAGTCTAGCTCTGTGTTATTTTGTTGCTACCATTTCTTGATAGCTTTTTACATTTTATACAGAAAAGCCCCAATCCTACTCTTTTATGTACACAAGCAATTCCATTCCCCTCACAGGGAGCTGTACGCATGCTGAGACTAAAATGTGGCCCTCCAGTTATTTAATCAACAGCAGGATGTGAAAAGTCTTATGGAGTGACCCTGGGATCCACCTTCTGAAATGCAAAGCGAGCCACAGGAGATGGCTAGTTTAGACACCATCCACCCAGTTTTGGTTCATTTCAAGATTTGGTGTCTGCAGCTCGAATGGTAGGTGTACTGTCAGATTACAGGAAAAGAACCAAACTGTAAGCACTGGAAAAGTGTAGGTGATTAGATACAGAAATGAAAATGGACTGATAGCACTAGAAAATTGTGTCACTCATGCAAACAGCAAACGTCTAAGCACCTATGGTATGATATACTGGGTCAAGCAATGTGCATTTAGTACATTATTAGACAGCCTGTAAGAATACACTTTAGTTTAGAAAGGAGCATTCCCATAATTAACTAGCAACTCATTTTCAACTCTCTGAGATTTTCTGGTTGACATTTTGCAAGATGTTATACAAATACTCTTTTTATCTCTGAGATTCAGCTGTGTTTTCTAGACTTGTGGTAGACAGAACTAAAAAGTAAGAAAACAAAAAGTCTCTTATATAATCTTACATACTCATATACTACATATATCTCTGTATCTCATACACCGTTTACAAACTCTAGGTTCTGAATATAGGGGCTTGAATTTTACTTACATCTGGTAGACTCGGCACACTAAAAGGAAACATCGGTCAAGCAGAACTGATGCTAGTGTACCGTGAAAGAAATCTGTCTACAGAGGAGAAGGGAAAGATAGCAGACAAAATTCTGTGGAGGTGAACATCAGCTAAAAAAGAGAGGCTATCGATTAGTCTGCCTCTGTCCGCTTGGACATTAAAACCACGAGCAGAAATTAACCGGAGGGGCATATCTTTTCTCACACTGTCCATCCCAGATTAGGCATAGAGGAGGTTTGCTTGCAGAACTGACCTTCAAGAAATCTGGACAAACTCAAGTAGGGTAGAGCCAGCCTGAACATCTCAAAAAAAATTTCCTGTCATTACTTTATCTGAATTGTATTCTCAGCATATTCTCAGGAGAAAATTCCTATATTGCTCTTGTCAAGAAAAATGTGACGCTGATTTGCCTAATACCATTAACCATTCTTCCCAGTGAGAGACCAGTGAGTTATACAAATGAATTATGTAGATCCTATGGGGATGGTCATGTTTTCTGGATTTTTCCCTGCAAACTTCAGAAAAAATGGAAAAGTAAAATAAGAATCAAAGGAAAAACTCTTCAGGTCATATAGAGCGTAACTTATTTGAGAACATGTTATGGTAGAGTGTATAACCTCGAAAATCCTCTGCCTACTCTGCAATGCTGGGCAGCATGTCATAGCAAGCATGCTGATTTTTACATTAACTTCTAGAGAAATGTTCTGTATGCAGGGCCATCAGTGATAGTCTAGCACCCTCATTTTTACCATTATTTTTCACAAACTTTAGAGAGTCTTAGACAACAGAAGAGCTCCCTTTACAATGAGGTATCAAAAAGTGGAAAAATCTGGTTTCCGAGAAGATGCTTTCTTCAGCATCTATGGAAAACTGAAATGAATTCATAATTAGCTTTTCATGTGGGGACCTGCAACCCAGGGACAGAACCTAAATACAGTCAAATTGTGACACTTTTTAAATTGTGACACCAGCCTACCTTTTAAAAATGAGAACTGATTTTTTTCATAACTTGATAGTGTATCAATTAATTTGAAGGATAAGTAACCCATAACTACCTTAAAAAGCAAACAACAACAGATTATTTAATTTCACTTCCAAGTCCAGAAAAAAGTCTCTTGAAAGATCTGGAGAGAATGAAATGAGTCATGGCAGGTTTCTTCATGTGTTTTATTTATAGTAACATCTAAAACAGAACAGGTTGGAGAATTTTCAGTCTGGAGAAGCTCCTGGGGACCTGTGTCCTAATGAAGAAAAGGGAGATAAGGAAAGCAAGCTGGCTGCCAATAGGTTTTTATTCCTTCCATAGGAACCTTTTCCTCTGTTAGAAACTTTAGAGCTCTACACAGAAAGATTCCCACTCCCAGCAGTTGTAAAGACAGAGTAGAAAAAGGAATAGGAGGAATCAGATGTATCAGTAACTTTGTGAACTCCTTGGGCAACGCCAGAGGAACTGCTGGCTTTGCAGTTAGTATATTATTCACTTAAAATGGACTCTATCCAGCAAGCTGCAAAAGGGGAGTGGAAGCAGGCCAGCACCTCTCAGAGCTCTTACTCTGCACCTTATGGAAGAAACCCTTAGGAAGTGAGCTCATCTGATGTAGATTTATGTCTAGTCTTCATGGACATTGGGGTATTAATCTGAGAACAAAATATGTTTACATTAAAAGCCACTCAGCTACACAATGAAGTTATGCTTCATAACTTCAATCAAGCTGCTCTCCATCTTGAGCCATGTGTGTAGGTTTAGCAACCAATTATGATTCAAAGCACTGGCTTGATTTTTTTGCCATATATACCTCAAAGGAATTTTCAGTTTACCTCTGCTCAGCTCCAACACAATTACCACAAGATCTTATCTATGAAAATGCACAGCAGCTCTCACCTGTTCATTAGGGTTTTCCATTAGCTATAAAGTTGGAACAAAGGAACAAAGGCACAGAAGACAACACCAATTGCATTAAACCATGGGTGAACATTTCCAAATTGTTGTGCAGTTACTGCAGTAAACTATGGTATTCTTTGCTTAATTATAAAAGTAGGTCTTCTTCCTAAAAACAGTTATAGAAATATCTGTGTTTACACATTCTTTGAGCTGTTCAGTACTGAATAATAAAGCTAATTTATTGTGAGGAAATTATAGGGAAAAATGGAAGAAAGCACCACTGAATTTTCCATGAAAATATAAATAATACCATGGCACTAAATTGAGTGAGAAGTGTTAGTAACAGCTAGTAAGTTCAAGCTTTAATCAGAGGAACATGAGATTCATCTGATGGGAACTATTTATTGTTTGGTTCAAACACTGAAAGAAGAGATCAGGACTCAAGACTTCTTACGCTGACACTTGTTCTTTATATAGGAACCATCTCATCTGAATTCTCTAGACTATGCATGGTATAATGGTCCAGAGAAATATCAATGAGACTGGGACTTAAACAGTTAATTGGAATTTAAATTGGACTACAGTCATGTAACACAAAGAGAAGAAAACAAATCAGCCTAAATAAATTGGTGGTGGTGGTGGTAGTGTTTTGACAATTTTATGGGGGAAAAGATGGAGTGGGAACATGCCACAGATCTACATTCAGTATCACAAGGATGAAAACAGCACTATTGCCATTCAAAAAAAATTAGAATGGGATAATTGTTCCATTTTACACTTAGTTGGGGTAAGACTTTTGGTGTAGATTTAGTCAAGATTCTACTCTATTACAGTAGTTTAATTTTATTGTTGTGTAATAGCAATGAAATGAAATATGACTCTTTCAACAAATGTAGCAACAACATAAAAAAAGTAATTTAATTTATATTATATACAATTTCTATGATAATTATTTCACAAATGATTTTATTAGATGATGCACTTCAGGTTTGTCTAAGTTGAATTTAGAATTAAGAGCAATTCAAGTCATCTGACTACACAGACTTTATTAATAGATTCAAAATTTATTATTAATCTGGAGGGGTTCTTCTGCAAACAGTGAATGCTTCTAAATGGTCTAGAAACCATTAATTTAAAAAAGCTCAATTTAAAACTGTTTTAAATTAAAGAGGGTCGTTTAAAAAAAAATTTGCTATAGTTTGTGTCTGAAGATGGTTTTTTCAGGTTTCCCCTCTTCTCCAAATGTTTTCCTTATTGAAATTTGAATCTAGTGGTGCTGTTCTGAGAACAGTACTGAAGCCAGCAGACAGGGTCTCCTGTGCTGGGGAGTCTTCACATGGGAAGTAATAAGGTTTATTCATTGTTCTTCCTTCCAAGAAGGCAGAGATTAAGTAAAAAAGAAAACTTACTCAGCAATAAAACCAAGACAAAACTAAAATCAGTACTGAAGACCATTTTCAGGCAGTAAGACAGAGATGCCAATAAAGATGCCACAGGTCCCTCCCTGCAAAAAACTCCAAACAAATAGCTAAAGTCTAACCAGTCAGCATCCAATGTCCAAGTTAATGTAATTTAATCTGATTATGAGTTCAAACTATCCCCAGCCCCATGCTGGGGAGACATGCAGTCCTCATGCCATTTCTACAAAAGGCTGTTAACTGATATCCAATTTTCCAATAAATTGCTTAAGAGAATGTTAATCAGTTAAAACACACCTGTACGGCATATGGCCAGCCAAGCAAGTTCTTTGACTTACTGCATTATTTTAATTAGGCTTTTTTCCTACTTGATTATCAGTTCCAGTTACAAAACAAGATTAATAAACCTGCTTCTGTACTCCCCTCCACAGTACAGACACAGGTGCCACACTCCGCTGCGCTGCCCGGCATCCCTCCTGTTACTGTACTGGGTCAAACTCCTTTCATCTGAACTGCTCCTGTAATCTATCTGTCTTTCTTTTGGCTCCTTGATCCGTTCCCATTGCTTCAGGCTGTAGATAAATATTCTTCCTCTAGCAATGACAGCAAAAATTATCACATGTTCAGACGTGAGAGAGACAGGTATGCGTTCTTTAGCCCCCTCCTGGTGCCTCATAATTGGCCCTGGGCTCATCAGGTTATTTGCAGCCAGCTCTGTGACCTCTTGGTGAGGAATTTATGGCAGTGAGACTTCTCTTTTCCAGAGAGGCAGGCTGGCAGCCAGGAGTCGAAGGTGGTTTTTGTTCCAACCTTCTACTCAGAGGGTTCTGGGGAAAGATGACTTAAGACCTCTTAATTAGAAAGCAATCAGGAAGGGCTTCAAATCTGACAGCAGCTGTGAGCCAACTAAGAGATAGCATGCATGGTGATAAAAACACAGAGAACAACTAGATTACACATTCCCAAGAGAAGGAGCATGAGAAGAAACTCAATCTTAGTAGTATCTGTCCCACCATCAGGACCTACCGTCGTGTCCAGCAGGCTACATCAGGCTGCCTCCTTGCCCATGTTTTCTGAAGCACAAGGAGTACCAGCCACACACTTCATCATCACACATTTAGATAACATGGATGCTTGTGAAGTGAAAGGGGGAAATTGTAAAAGAGAGACACATTTGTCATCCTGATGCATCCAGGAAACAGGAACAAGGGAAACAACAACATGGTTAAGCTTTAATGGCTTTCAGGAACCTCTGAAGAAAATCCCCTTCTTTTGTTCACATGGAAAGCTCCAGAGAGTATTCACTTTGTTGTACATGATGTCACTAAAAGCCCCTGAAACTTCGCTGTTTCTCTTCACCTCAGATTCCTATACCCCTTCTGACCTTGTGACAGGTAATGTTGAGGCTCTTACAGCAACAATTCCAGACTCTCTTATCTGTCAGTGACCAGTCATGTAATACACTGACCAAGACACATGAGAAACATAGAGATGGACATGCCAGAGGAAAGATTACAGCCTGTCAGAAGTGTAGTGACTTCGTCCTTGACCTCAACCGAGAAGCATGCTGCCTGTGGAGCTGGCCCTACTGCGACTACAGCAAGCAAACATGGGGACTGTCTCCAGGTTTGGTGTCAAGCTTGGGATTGACAGTACTCTCAAAATGCAATGTACAGGCAATCTCTTTGTTCATGTGAGTACCCTGGGCCTGATTTAGGACAGCTATTCTGTTTGTTTGGAGCAACTTCCTTTCCTGAGAGTTAAAATGCGGTGTCTGGGACAGCCAAGTTTGCTGAGGCCATATGACTAGTGAGACCTCATGACAGCCAAAACGAAGAGACCTGCCCTCTCCAAGTTGTAGAGAGCTGTCATATTGTAACTTGATAGGATCTCTAAATTTTGATTAGATAAATTCATTGCATTTTGGTATGACAGCCGAGAAACACATGGTACACCATCAGGCACAAGTAACTTCCCATTAATTTGCACAATTAATGACATTCTTTTCCTCTGAGCTCTTGTAACAACCAGCTACCAGAACAAAATGGAGACACATATATTAATTCAATCACTTGTACTTACTGTTACTGCTAGTGTTACTGCCAATGCTGTCATTCCTAAGGGAGCTGGCAGCAACAGGAGGAAACAAAAATGTTTTTGTGACAGCGACTCTGGAATCTAAATAGAAAATGAGTGTATCAGCATTATGTAACTTAAAATACAGTTCCCTTTATATAAGATGATGGGCTATAGGGCTACTCTGATGTGACTATAGGGCTGTTTTAAAAATCTGGCTACAGGGCTGTTTATAAAGTGGATTAAGCCAAAAAAGGCAGTTTTATTAAGAGGCAGATGTGTCCACACACTGAGCTGCTGCTGAACAGCTATTCTGGAAAAGCAATTGCTTTAAACAAGTTCTTAAGTTATGGCACTGATCTACTTCTAGTTACTACTGGTGTAACTGGGCAACTGGATACGTTGCCCTAACTAAAAAGCTAATAGCTGTCACTAGAGAGAGTAAAAGAAAAGAGAATACAAAACATCCGTTTACTGGAAGGATGAGAATGAACTGCAGGAGCCTGACTTGAGCTTGTTAAAATTTTTAAATGAAGTAAACATGGCCCTTTACAGGAGGGATGGAATGAATATGGAGGTGACTTGAGGCTGCTGCAATTTACTACTTGTCCTAGCTTCCTATCCTTTCAGTGGTGCAATCTTAGGCTCCTTTACTGCCTTACAAAAATTAAATAGAGCATTAATAGAAAATAAGAAGAACAATGTAAAAAGACAATCCAGGATGTATTTGGGATGAAAAGAAACAGAGCAGAGTATTGTGAGGTTATTTGGATTATATTAAGGAATGATGTCACTAGGAACGATGGCACTAGTTTTACTGCCAGATAGAACTCAACTTAGAACAGAAGTACAAGCTTCGGTGTTGGTAGCAATTTAACTGGCAGTAAAAAGGAGACATGGAGGTACAGCATCGGACCTTTAGCATCTCTGAAATCAAAGGAAAATCACCCATTTATATCTACGTAGATTCTGTTCCCAAAACTGAGAGCCATTTTACCATTCTCTGGTGTTTCTACTGTTGAAGGCAGAATACAGTCATTCTTATCCAACGTGTCTGCAAACTCCTTGTAGACCTCAATGGTACTATTAAAGTGCCTAAAAAAATCCTCAGGAATGAAGCGACCTTCTTCATAAAGGTGACCATTTTCTTTTACAAAATCCTAGGGTAAAACATAGAACTCAGCTTGAAAGAAGGTCAAGAGAGATGCTCATTTCAGCACCTCAACAGATGATAAAAATATCCAAAGATGACACAAAATAGTTTAAATTTTTAAGCTGCAGAAGACCAAATTTGCTGTATACAATATTAATGAAACAGACAAGCCCTCTGATTTGAGGATTTCAAATTAGCTTTGCAAATAGAAATAAATTATTAATCTAGAGTTGTAAAATTGCCAAGGAATAAAAGGCAGTCTCCCATCCTACGCTGAAAATGAACAAGACTTTTTTTTTTATTTTCCTCATTAAACCTTGATTTCACATTACTTTGCAGTGTTCCACATGATCCTTTTAATCTGAACACAGGAACACAACACAATCATAGCTATTGTCATAAGTGTACAGGGAACAGAATACAATAGCTGGGATACACTACTGCACAGAAGCAGGCTGAGATCCCTGATAATGTACCTAAAAATAAGAGCAGGACTATAAACAAGGAAGCCCAATCACTCTGAGGTCTAACAGACAGGTGTGTTATGCCAGACTGAACAACAAGATTGAGGTCCATGTTAAGATCATTGATGGTTATCTTCTTTTTTTCTTTTTATCTGACTCTGGCTTTCATAACAACTACTTCTTATGCCAGCAGGTCAAATTTGGCCTGGGGTTACTCTGTACTCCCAAGAAGGAGGACAGTGGTAAGAACATGGGTTAAATATGTACTAAGGAAAACTTCCTAGTTTTGGCTCCAGAATTTTTTTATGTTTAATGCTGAAAGTACTAGACCTAAGATCATTCTCCTCTGAGGAAATCAATAGCTAGTTGTTTCCCTGAATTACAGGATATTTACTTCTTCATTCTACAAAATAAAATTCCTCTTCCCCAACCACATCCCAGCTCAGTGCTTTGAATCATCAGGACAAGAATAGAAAAAAAAAAAAAAAAAAGAAATAAATTGAATATTGGACAGAATTCAGTTTGAAATAGAAAGGTAGGGAATGTCTAAATATATATTTATATAGTGTAATATAATGCCAATATATGACAAGGTTAAAAGGTTATGCCACTCTAAATGAGACTGAGTGTTTTAGTCCATTTGATTCATTCTGGATGTTAAAAAGGTGCAATTACAACAGCTAAGGACTTACTTGACAAAAATAAACATATGTGGGAGATGAAATCCTTGCCCTAAAGAACATGATGGATTTTGCCCATTTTGTTCAGTGGGACAAAGCCTTCAACTACAGAACTTATTTTTAATTACCAATAGATGGGTTAGAGCTGGGTAAGGGATTAGAAAGTTTTTTTTCCCCCCCATAATTTTCACACAAGAGAATCAGACGCCTCTTGAGTGAGACTTCTGGAATCCTTCCAGCTGCTGTTGGAATCCAGAAACACATGGAAATGGGCCGATATCCTCTAGTCTTTGCTGTATCTTTGTATAAAAATGTTCATTAAACCATGGTGAAGCTTTCAGAGCTTCAGACACTGTGATACATACTAAGAGTATATTAATAGCTTCAACCACATCATCTTTAAATTTACATTAGGATCACTAGCAAAATGAATAATTTAAGCTGGATGCACAAGGAAGATTTCTGCCAGCTTCAAACAGACCAGAATGAATTAATTATCTTAAAGATGATGGTTACATTTTTGACTACTTAAATAACCGTATACAGGTCATTGTATATACTGTAATTCCTTGTAAGCCATTTTCCTTTGAAACAGGAGACAATGACTAGCCAACATTAGCACAGTGTGCTCAGTGCATTTCTAAACAAAGTAGGATTTCAGATGTACAGGAATTGAAATGAGAACAAATCTAATGAAGGTTTGGACATTTTTAAACTATTAGTGAGTACTGTGCAACAGAAAGTTCAAATAAAAATATCCAGCATAAAAGTAGAAACTCTGTATAAGATTACCTTATTTTTATCAAAAGCTAGGCATGCCATAAGATCATTAATTATCCTTGTGAGATTATTGATGATTGAATAGTTGCTTAAAACATCAGACATATCTGAAATATCTGAAAATTTCTGGAGAAGATTATGTAGACTTCTTGAAAACTCAGGCACCATCAAATGCAACCAACAGTGATTAGGCTGTCAGGAGATAAAAAGAGAAACAGAGAGGTAGATTAAATATCAGACTTTTGCAAAAAATGGTTAAGTGCAAAAGTAGATTAGACTGTTCTTTCCAATTTAAATTATTTTGAAAGTCAAAATTAAAATTCATCTTCTTTAGTGTGGCCAACTTCCTCTTCAGTCCTTTTGGTAAAATTTCTGTTCTCACTGATACTGACATATTTATGGTTGTCTGTTAAATGCCATCCCTTCATTGAATTCTTAATGAATGCTAAGCATCAGTCTGTTGAGAATTTGAGTCTTGGGACTTACTACTATGAACCTTTTTCCATGCTTTCATTAACCTATTTATTTTTTTAAAATAACTACTACTTTAACAATTTTCTCCAGACTTTCTTTAAACCAATCTCAGTTTTCATTTTATTATTGTTACCCTATGTGACTCAGTTAACCCCAAAGATCCTTGATTTAAATCTCTTCTGAGGAAGGTTTCTGTAAATGTTTTGCATGAAATCCATGTGTACTTTTACCCACCTCTAAACTAGTTAGCTTAGTTAACTCCTTCTCTTCAGCTTTTTCACTAAATGCCATTCCTGAGAACAGTTTCTAGATCTAAAAGTCTTTCTTTTCCTGAGTTTTTGCCAACAAAAGGGTTCTGCACAGCCCGTTGCGGTATCTGCCACATCTGTGCCACTGGAATAGAGTTCAAATCCTTTCACTGACACCTATGCAATTAGTTTGCAGAAAAAGTTTGTACAGCTGTTCATGTGATTGAAACCTGGTCATTCATCTTGCTGCTTTAGAGGGAGTCATTAACTTCTTTTACTTAGATTTACATAACAGTAGTCAAGTAAGTAAAAAAGCAACCCAGCCCAGGAAAAACCCTAACTCAATATGGTCAGCAAAAATACAGGTTATTGCATTAGTCACTCTGCAACATGTACCTGGAAATCCCTTCCCAATAACTGCTGAATTTTTAATGGTAAATGTTATGGGAATTTGTTCCATATGTGAAGCTATTTTTTCAATGGTTGAAAATGTCTCAGGATCGTTAAAGCCTGCCAGGTATGAAGATCTTGGCCCAGCAACCCCTAAGTACTCTCAGTATCACTAAACCAGTTTCCAATTGCTGCCCAGTGGATGGGCAGCATCCACTGAATCCATTCACTCCACCTTCTGCAACGCACAGTAAATGTTTGGCGATGTATCCGCTTCTAGACTTAATGTCATTTTACTCAATTTCTGCAAGAAACCTGCAGACAGATTCTTTATTAAAAAAAAAAATCATCCACTTGGCAATATCATCACTTGGCAACAAATTACTTTCTTGGGGACATGAGTGTTGTTCTGCCTTGATGTGTAAATGTTTCTGATGAGGAAAAACATGCTTCACGCTTTCGAAGACTAACCAGACTATTAGGCTTCCAGCCTTAGAGAACCAAATGTAAATACATTGTTCAGCTCCACCTGACTTTTCACTTTTGTGTACAACTCTCTCACACACAGATAACAAGTGACAAGTCTTTATTATCACCTTCTGTAATTATCTCAATGACTTAAAGAATGAAACAAAATGTGAAATGGATGGCTTGATTCTGCTTCCCTTTTTTCCTTCAAACACTACAACGGGAGGGGAGAAGCAGAAGCAAATAAATCAGAGAAAGCTTGTTGAAACGTAGTCCGTTCAAGCAGCATGCGTTGTGCCGTGTCCCATTGCCCTCACGAGACAGACCATGCATTTTCCTCTGCTTCGGTGTAGGAACACAGACACAGAACTTCTGTGCTTCCCTGAACTGCAAACCTGGAAACCCTTTTCCTCTGAGGTTTTGTGGGTGTGCATTCTCCTCTGGCAGGGACTAGCAAAAGCTTGCCGTTTCTCCTAGTGAGCATTTGGCGATTCCAGCAGGGAATCTATTCTGTTGCTCCCACAGTTTAGCATGTGCGTGGGAGTCTCCTCTGACTGAACCATTCTGACCTACAAAGCTGTATTTCACGAGAGCTTTAAGTTTTCTTGTCAGTAATATCAAGCTGTGCAATCACTTGCTGTCTCAATACCTACCAAACACAGAGATGAAACTGCTGAAATTGGCATTGTTTGCAAGGAGAAATGGAGGTTTAACTCTGCTTTTTTGTGTAAACTTTGACCAAGATTTACATTTTAGGGCAACCGCAAACCTGACTTCCCTTGTACTTCCAGGTAGTCCTCATTTAGCTTTTTCTTTCTACACCTATCTAAAAGTTTGAAGTTTATCTCCTCTTCTGAGTTCAGCCTCTGCTGCTGTCATCTTTTCCTTTTAACCTTCAGGTTAGACTACACAGTTCACTCTATGCGAGACTACTTTTAAAGCCACTCAGATGCCTTGAGCTAGTGCATAATGCAACAACCCTTCTGTTTAATGGATTGGGTCAGTCTGTTCCTGTTACATGCACTACACTGGCTTCCCATCTGCTTTGCATTCACCCTGCCTTCCTACCTTTAGTCATCTACATTTGAGACTTGCTACCTTGGGTACATTTCCCACTTTATGCACACACTGAAGATTGAAATCTGTTGAAAAAAATTGCAGAGCACCGTTTCAATCCTTTCAGAGCTGAACAAAGGGCATTCACCTTATGCAAAGTTCTGGGTTTCCCAGCTTGCAGGAACCTTGCAGAACCCAGAGCAAAATCTACTCATTCAGCCAGCCTTTGCTGTGGTATGTGTAACACAACATGAAATCCCCAGAGAGGAATCTGGCAAAGTGGGATGTGAATACCGCTGAATACTTCCTCCTGTGAAGGCATGTGGGCAAGAGCTGCACCTTCCATCATCACGACTGAAAGTGGCGTACGAGCAAAGGGAATATGGAAATCCCAGCTCTGAACTTCTCTTCTTCCTATTTATTTCTTGGCCACTTGTCATAAATGTAAATTGGATCTGTTACTGGGTATGATGCATCAAGATGACATGGCATTTAAACCATAGAAAAGAATCTGTGTACTGGCAGTCAAAACTGAACCACGGAGCGAGGCAAGAGTTAAGCAGTGAGAACAACCAGGACTTCTTGCTCAAGCAGGCTCCCTGGCCTTCTTCATCCACAGTTCCAACCTCCCCAGGAGCACAGCGGTGAGAACAGCCCTGATCCAGCCCGGCTCTTGCCCATCAGCTGCTGCGCTCATCCCAGAGGCTGGGGAGCAGCGCTCGGGCTATGGCTGTCCTCCACAGATGTGAATCTCAGGCACCAAAATCATTGAATTTCAAAAAGCACCACAGCCAGGGGATGGTGGCAGCAAGTTTTACTTCCTTTTTCTCTGGATATTGGCTATTTTCAGAAATGGAAATTTTTCCATTAGTTTTAGTTATATTATATAGGATCTAGTAGCATTTGTTCTGCAGAGTTTTTCTGTCTAAGGAATCAAGTTCAAACTGGTTATTCTATAGTACTCTAAGTTTTAGTAAAAGCCTAGAGCTTCCAACAAAACTCATAAGAACACTGCCAGATCTGCCGTAATACCTTGTAACCTCACAGCTCAGGGCCCTTCGCTATCCCACAGCCTCCTTTTCCTCCAACCATCTTCTTGCTATTCAGGACTGAGGGAATGTTGCTTCTGGCATTGTTCTCCAATATGAACAGGGAATATTGCTAGATTTGCTACAATGTTGTAGGATAGGATGCGTTTTTATATGCGTATCGCACACAAATTGGATTTTCATAATGAAAACTTTTGAACAGACACAAAAACATCTTCTTACATCTACCAGATGATTTCCAACTACTGCTGTATGTGTACAATGATTCATTCTTAAGACAGGCACAATATTGTTCAGTTTAACAGACAAACTAGTCCTTTTCTTACTTTTTTCTTTCCTTAAAAAAATATAGTACAGTATAGCATTCAGCATAATTTCTACTTTCACCTTGTTTCCTTCTATCCTTTTTCTTGCAGTGTATGCAACAACCAAGAGAGCATTTTCAATGCATCGTTCTAAAAATATTTTTTTAAAATTAAGGAAAAACATCGACAATATTTAATAGACTAAGCAATAAGATAATATGAAAAAGTCTATAATACAAAATATTATAAAATTTTAAAGAAGGTAGATGATGCTTATTTGAAAGTATCACTGTATTAACTAGGGGATTATATAGAAAGAATAAAACAAAGCATGTTTGAATGAAATAATGTCCTCACTTTCTACCTGTTGGTTTAGTTACTGATGCTACCATTTGCTGAACTTAGAGTTCTCTTTATTGGCTACTCAGTATTTGTTGTGCTTTAATGGCATTTCCACTAGCTGAAATGAGAAGGACATTCTACATTATATTCCAAAGTACAATTAGAAAGAAACTATTTCTTTAAGAAAGCAACAATTTTCAAGTGACATGATGAAATAATACCATAGTTTGACTTTTTCCAGATAAAATGTTAAAAAATTTAATATGAAGAAATATTTCTCTAAGATTCCTGTAATTAAAAAGGTTTTAAGTGACTGCAGGAATCTCTCTACGTTTCTTTTAAATGAATACTTGCGAAGTGTATGAAAAGTGAAATAACCATTATTTAACTGTAACTTACTAAGCCATAGGACTAGGTACAAAACGTTATGGCCATCACAGGTTCCAGTGGGCTATTTTATTGGAATTAACTTGAAGTGGTTGTACATACCAGACTATCCATCTTCGGAACATATTTAAGGGTTATCATATAATCATTTGGGAGATTTCCGACCTACAATAAACAGATAATAAAAATGTTATTACTGAATACACAAAGTAAGACCTAATTTCCATCACTATATGCAACAAAATCTATCAAATATTCAACACAAATTTTCAGTAACCTATCAGGTGCAAAAGCTTACATACTCAGTTTGTAACTAGTGGAACTGCTACTGACTCTTATTTGCTCACAAGTGAAGCATCTTTCCACATCTTTGTAACATTTCCAGATCCGATCTGATCATGTTCAATGCTACCACTTCCCAGCAGAATTAAAGTCAGTAATGTGGTTAGAAGTGATCTGAGGTTATTCATTACTTCAGAAACTCCATGCATTTTCATCTTTTAATGGCATGTCTTGAAGTGTTATGTGACAATTTCTATGTAACCCCAACCACTCCAAACAGTAGAGGACCCAGTAGTCTCTCAGCCTTTTTCCTTCAAATAATTTCCAACTTCAGCAAGCATCTGAACCTAAAGAAATACTTGCTTGCCTTGTGCTTATTTATGTACCAGGTCAGAAAAACACTTGAGCACAACTTTAACTTTGAAGCTGTGCCTCTTACTAATGATAAGCAATATAATTATATCATAGCAATGTCCTGGGACAAAGGAGAGCATCCGCACACGTAAGTTGAGCGTGGCTTTGCAGATGTGGGTGAGCATGGGGTGTGCTGAAGCAAGGACAAGGAGTGGAAGAAGGGTTCTCACTGAATTATACAATGCAATCTGCCAGAGATGGGATCCAACACCCGTGAGACATGGTTTATCATCTGGGGAAAGTGCTGAGTGGGGAGATGGAGACGCTGCCACGATCCACAATCTCTTGAAGTACTTTTTTCAAAAGGTTTACCAATACTATGATGCTTAGTGATACAGCAAATCTATTTTCTTTTGTATCAGTGAAAGATTCAATTGATATTTCTCATCCTGGTTTGAAGTCCATTTAGTCAAAAGACAATAAGAACATACATAATTCCTTCGGTGAACTGGAATCTATACTTTGTTCAGCAAAGCATTTCCACTTCTTCGGGTTAAAGACCATTCTGTTATGGCTGCTTTTGATTCTGCTGCTATAGCAACCAGCACGGGGATTATTTTTTTTCCTGTGCAGTTTTTAGGTAGTATTTTGCTTGACACAACAGAATGTTTTATTTGTTAATTAAAATTTAGTTTCAATTAAAAATTTAAACAGCAATTTCAAAATGTTATGGTTCTAGAAATGATCAAGGACAATACTTATGCACAGTCACTAGTGAATTCCAAATATTTTTTTATTTACAACGTGGGCTGAGCCACAATCTTTCAGTTCAATGACATCTATCTTTCTCCTACAGCTTTAAAAAACAAGTTTTATACAAATGATCCTGGTAAATTCCTTTCCATAGATCAATTTGCTTTTTTAGTTCTTATTTTTATACCTACACGCTCCCAAAGCAGCAATTGCAGAAGTGCCACTAAAATTCTCTATATCAATTTCTATTTACCTGGCATTTTGGGGAGTTGATTCAAGACGCTATAAATACTGAAAAAATATTGCAATACATTTGTTCTTTCTTTAGAGCATCTGATTTATTCTAAATCCTCATCCACAATTTTTTGTATATTTTTCCTTCTTCTAGAAACACCCTGACATCATGACACATTAATAGGTAATCCAGTTTCTTTTCCAGCTTCCTTTGCGTGCCTAGAGAGGTAGGATTAGCAGCACTTCAAGCAGCAAAGGTAGTGAAAATGTTACTACATGTGCAAAGTTTCCCATACCCACTCTAGAGGGATTCAATATTTAGCAATGTCAGCAAAAGCACTGTTCTTTAAGAAAGGTCACTGGAAGATTAAATTTGTTCCAAATCAATGAACACTACAAAAATTGATATGCATTATGTATACAATCTACTTTCCTGGCAGCAGAACCTGTCAAGCACTTCACATGCACAGTTAAAAAAAATGTAACTGCCCAAGAGCTCTTACAGCTTCTCAAACAAAGCTGGAGAATACAGCTCGGCCTCAGATATTTTTCTCCTTGACAGACCATGAATCAGAAAAGATATTTTTGAATTTACTACTAAAAATGAAGATCACTGGGGGGGAGGGTGTCAAACACAAAATATATGCCCTGCCTCAAGACGAAACAACTTGTTAAAGTTTTATTGATTGAACTCCACATGGCAGATGCTCTGCTGATGGTAAATGATGGAGCTCAGTCAAAGCGAGGGAGTTATATTTGTGTCCCAGTTGGACTTCCCAACTCACACACAGAAAATAGGGTAGAGCCCCTGATGTAAGACTGAAAGATATGTTTGTACTAAATCTGTGCATTTTGTACTCTCTTGCTTTCCTGAAATGAATCTTGAAATTTTGTTGAAGACTAACCACCAAGACTATGATCTCAAACCAACCACTTGATTTTCAGCTGCTGAAATGATCCTGAAAGGAATGAAAGGACTCTGCATACCCTCTCTGTGCGGGGTGCCTGACTGCTGCAGCTCCCAACAAGGAGGAGAGGACAAGAAGGCTCTGAGCTGCCTGAGCAAAGGGGGATAGAAAGGGACTGTCCCTTGAAATTCCTTGAGTCCTGGAATGGCTTTTTTGGTTCCTGTACTCAACTCCTTAAGTACAGTGACAAATTTGGGGGCAACAAAACACCTGCCTGCATGACTTACCTTGGTTTAGACAAAAGCAACAGTTTTGATGATTATAGAGAACGTCAACTGATAATCTTGGAAAGTAATGTATAGAACTAAAAGAACCCTGCATTGAAATTAAAATGCCACAGAAAGTTTGTCTGATTTAGTGGGTGTGTGTGGCTGTAGAAGTCCTATCAGGCTCTGAGAAGAGGTGAAGAACAGGGAATCTAGACTTATGGCTTTAAATCCATATAAAACCAACATTAAGTGCTATTTTCCCAGTTGTAACAAAACCTCTAACTGGGGAATGTAAGATTCCTTTTGACATACAGAGGTCTGAATATTTAATACAGCACTGTTAACACTGCATAACCCAAATATACTTTTAAAATATGCTTATGGTCACATAGAGAGGGAGATGAAAAAGGGATACTGTAAAAGCGATTTGGGTTCCATAAACTACTCTTTCATTGCAACAGCAGAACATGAGAGATGACCTATCTCTGCAGTCAAGTGCTTTGAAATGAGGGCTACTGCTCTTGGAAATTCTCTTTATTGTGACTGTTCTGAAAATTTTAAGGAGACAAGCATAGATATTATTTTTTTATACACAGATCAAAGATAAAGTTCATAAAGTAAAAATTACCATTTACCATTGTCAGTGATTTCTTTTTTACTCTGAGGCATATGATGGGAAAACCATACTTTCTTTTTGACTACCATTTCTACCTCCCATTTCTCTCTTCGTCATTACCTTTTTCCTACTCTTTAATACCTCTGCATCACCCTTCTTTGCATCCTTCGCTTTTCTTTTCCTGCAGGAGCTTCCACTTTCTGTCCATCATCTCTGCAATCTACTCTAACTCATCTGCTAATGAAGCAGTTAATAAAGTCCTCATCATTTGGCTTAAGACAACATGCTAACAATTTCCGTTCACACTTCTTGCAGCCATAGTGGCAGATTATTTGCAAGATAACAACACTGGATCATTTTTTATAACCCCTTCACTCAGGAGAGTTAGATCCATTTAAAAATAAATATCAAATGTTGCAGAGAGTGTAAAGCACACATTTACAGCAAAGATACAATGTGAAGGGAAAGTGTTTGAAACAGCATGTGTCAAACAAGCAACTTGGTCAGTAAATGCTGACTATTGTTTGGGCTTCCAATATTCAAAAGAAAAAAATTGCTTTAGAGAAGTAGATCATGGAAGAAGAGGTGAGTATCTTAGATTTTATTAATAGATGAAACCAAAATACGTAAGTACCTTCTATACATACTGCACAGCTCAGTGAAAATTCTACTTATACATAGGTTTGATGTTCATATTTAACAAACATATATACAACAGAGTCCTAATTCTTATGCAAAATCAGAGTCACAATTACAGCAATGCAGCTTTCTGCTGACTTACTGTGCTTAAAAGAGCAATGGGGACAGGCTTATTGACAGGTGCTGCAATTACAGTTTCATAATACGGAACATTTGTTTGTCAAGTAATGTGCTTCCCTCCAGACATCTTCATTAAAAAAGAAGCAGGAGTTCAAGTGATTAGTAATGCAGAATGAATACTCTCTAAATACTTTTGTTCTCTATAGGTATGAAATTATGCTCTTTTAAAGTTCTCACTATTAAAAAACAAACAAAAAATGATTGTTCAATTGTTCTTTGCTTCTTAAAATCATTTTATTTAGGACACATTCTTCATATGACAAAATTGTATTATAAAGATTTGAATAAATTTAATCTTACAGAAAATACAAGTCATTTTTGTATGAACAGATACCAGTCTGGTTTGGTCTTAGGTTGATTAACGCTCAGAAACCTTATTGCTATTGAATCTGCTCTTTCTTTCCGATTCTAACTTCTGGTATGAGTCTAGTATGATGCTAGTGAAAATCCAGACTGATGCCACTGAAAACAAGTTACACCATACATCTGTCCTCAATTTATTACTCAACACAAAGTTGATTAGGCAAATGACCCACATTTTCAGGTGCTGCACAGTGTGGCTTATTTATTCTCCAGTAGCTTAGGCTTGGTAGACATCCCTGGTCTATATTCACAGAAAGTCTTGACTGAGGCATGTTCTTCTCTTATTCCTAGAATACAATACAGTTGAGCAGAACACAGCTGCAGCCATGCTCAGGGGTTTTCCACCTGTGATACAGGGGGGTTACAGTACTTGGAACAAGAAGCCCAGAACCAAATAAATGAAGACTAGGTTGTATCAAGCTACAGGCAAAAGAGTTTGGTTAGGAATCATGGCACTGTTTTGCAAGCTGTAGGTGAACTGCAGTAGAGGTAGGGAAGAACAGAGTAGGAAAAAGAAAGAAGAGGGACATAGATTCATGCTGCAACAAATTTTAGCATGAGGTAGGAAGAGGATAAGAATCTGCCTGGAGTTCATCAAGGAGCATCTTTCTTGTGGCCACGAACAGCGTAACAGATACCATGGAAATAATAAGGAGAAGCTAGGACAAGAGGGCAAGCTCAGCATGTGTTAAGATATCACAGGCAGTGTTACTAGTTAGTGCCTTTGAAGACAAAACCAAGAAGCTTGCCACTGATAATGAAAAAAAGGAGGACCAGCTGGAAGGAAATAAGTAGAAAATACAGGGTCAGAGCAGCAAATTAATAGACAGAAGGGCAAAATTATAGAAGTCGAAGCCAGAAAAAGACTTTTCAGTAGACTGGATTTTTATCCACCAAGAATTTGGAAGAAAAGTGAATTTGTAGGGACAGAGACCTACAAAAACATTTTCCTGTTATGACAGGAAAAACAATGGAAGTTTTAAAAGTGAACTTACAAGGGTCTGTGAAGTGTCAAGAGTCAAAATGGACACCTCTATTATAGACCTGAATGGCTGGGGAGAGATGGTGATATACCTTTACAGTGAGGAGAAAAGGCCCAGAGAAGATTAACATTTTGGGGAGATGAAGAGATCATAATCCGCCTCAGTGGAGGATTCAGGCTGTACTGAATCTAAGCTGATGTCTGAGCATTTGTGATGAGACAGGAGGAAGAGGCGCCAATATCCTAAGCTAAATGATGGGACTTGTGTACTGCCGCTGAACGGCTAGTTTATTGCACACAGATACAGGACTATACTCATGACTGTGGACAAAAGGGTTTAAAGAACATGACAGTGTGGCCAAGAATAAAGCCTTTAGAAACATCTGTCATAACACTCTCAGTGAGTGTGATAGAGCTTGTGGATAACATCACGATAACTATGGGCAATAACTGTACAAATAGCATTAGCTTCTGTGAAATTCTCAGCACTACAATTTGTTCTCAGCATGAAAGGGGAGGACATTTATTAAAGACACTATGTTCTACTGGCACAAACTCTTTGGATCAGCGGAGAAATAAAACTTTTAAAGACCAGTAGGACCAATAAATAACCCAACCACCTATGGGTGCTATGTCTAATTCTGAAGATGTAAATAGTCAGAATATCATTCCTTAATTCAATGAGTATATTTTGTTTCAAAAAGCAGAAGTGGTACAAAAATATTTATAGTAATTTACAAGAGTTATAGGGTCTCCCGAACTATATTTTTAAGCAATATCATGTTAAAGTCCATACTATATGTACTAAGGATATAGCCCATATAGCATTAAAAAGTTGTACTTTTTAGCAAAGTAATGTGATCAGTGTTCTCTGTGATTTTCTCCCTTCTCATATTCATAGTCAGCTAATGATATTTTGTTTTAAAAGTACTTTAAACCTTATTATATTTTTTTCATTTTGTTCTCAATGTCAAGTTGTCATGGTGTAGCATTTCAAAAGTGAATGACCAACTTGCAACATAGTCAGTTTAATTAAAACCAAGAGTTCTTAACTAAATTTAAGATACTAGACTTATTTCCATGTTATCCTTTCAATTCTCAAGTGGCTTTATAGAAATTATTTCCTCATGAAAAATCTATGCAAATATTAACACAGGCAGGCAAAACAGGGATACAGACTTTCCTCAAAACATTCTCAGACGCACAGCTCAAAACAGAGAATCCAGCTGTCTGGGCTTTGTATTTTCTGCATCTCTCTGTTATTTCTCCAACCCAAAATACCTTTGAACTTGCTAGTTAACTTCACCCAAATTTTGCATTTGGTAGAGAGATCTTAAAGGTATGGGTGTAAGTCAAGAGAAGGACCATACAGCATCCTCACTGAGGAGTGGCTGGAGGAGCTCAGCCCTACCCCACTCTGCTCAGGCTTGGCAGCAGCAGAAACACAGTGCGTACCTGGACTGTTGGCAGAGGTTGTCTTCCAGGACAAAGCAGCACATACACCAGAACAGTTGCCACACGAAGTCCTTCCTGCCCAGCCAGCAGTCCAAGCAAAAGGGGATATAAATCCGGCAAATGCTCAAAACATTGCTTAGGTAGGCATCATATCATGCCTAGGGGGCATGGGAGGGAACTAGCGACCATGCTGCATGTGGAGAACTAAGAGGGGATGTGGAGGAGGATGGGGGTATGGAAACATGGTGCTGCAGGGATATGTGCAAGAACTGCAGTTGCTGGACTAGTCTGGAGGAAGATGTAGGAACACAATACAGAAAGTCACAGTCCAATTAAAGACTAACCTAATTTTTATGATATTAGGTTTCTTTCATAATTTATCTCAAAAGCAAAGTGTGATTGCTTAAGCTGCATGCAAATTTTTGTAACCTGTATTCATACATTCTTGAAGTTTAAATTGTACTAAAGGAAAAGTTAAAGCATTTGTTCTGAGCATACATAATTGACAAAAAGTTATTGCTAGGATAGCTATTGCTATACTAGACAATTTCACCAGCCCTCACAGGAGTTCTGTTCTGTCATGCTTTCAACAGGTTTAAGTCAAAGCTTAATACTCTTTCAAGAGATGAAATATTATCTTGAATAAACATGCCAATACTTCAGAATTCTGCCTAAAGGGACTACTGTGAAGCACTAAGCATTTGAGTAGGACTACAGAACACCCCCAGAGATTTACAGTATGTGCCAATGTACATAACAATGCACAAAGAAAACAAGTTAAGAACACTGCACTGGCAGGAAATGCAAGGGACTCCAAATTAAGTGTTTGATAATATTAATGCTAGTATTGCAACCGTTTTTCCATAATGAAGCCATAATTTTCAGCTGAAGTCAGTAGGTAGATGAAGGTATGCTTGTTAAGTCATCAGTATATATTATTTCTTAAAAACTTAAAAAGTGTTAGATCCTGCACTACTGCAAGTTAGCATCATCACTGACTTCAGCAGAGTTAAATACCAACTGCCTTCACACAAGGAGATGCAGTTTTTCAGGTTAATGCAGTGTTCAATTAAGTAACAGTTAAAATGTACTTAAATGAATTCAGTTCTTATACGAAGCCCTGAGTCCTTCAGACTTAAACTTCTAGGTACAGCAAGTATAGAGAGAAACATGTAATGAGTGTAGCCCATTCCCACCTAAAGACTGTAAGAGCTGTTCAGTCGTTATGGCCTTGATTGCTACAATGATGCCTAATATCATACTATTTTTATATATGGCACAAGTTTCCCATATACCTAAGAGAGATTCTGGTTCATTTCAGTTGTGTTTGCCGCCACTCTGCTCCACGCAAATCAGTAACACAAAGACAATAATCTTTCATCTGCATGGGAAGCAATCATGTTTGAGGAAGCAACCATGTTTGACAATGTTTGAGAAAAGCAAGACTTTTGACAATTTTAATGGAAGTTTGGAGGGAGGAAAACATATATGTACATACACTCCAGCTTGGTCAAGAAGGTCATCTCATCAATGAACTCTGAAACTATTCTCCAGTCTCTGCAATAAAGGTTTGGGTTTTGATCACGTGACAGACGTTGATGGATTTTTTTTTTTTTTTAATATATTCCCCTGGTCCTAATATAGATTTGCTAACTTTGCTTAAAATGTAAGTGCCATTAGCCACTGATTATTGTTTAACAGAAAGAATAATTTAAAATAAAAGCTACTTACCAATTTTGCAATGTCATTCACATCATCTGTCACTGGATTCCCGCAGGAACTCTGGGCTTTGACAAGAGGATTAAGTAGGAGTAGTTGAAGACAAAAGCAAGTGATAATCCAAGTCTATTCAGTAAAAAAAAAAAAAAAAGAAACAAGAAACCGCAAGTAAGCAATCTCCAATCGTGAAGTAACAAGAAATCATAGTAATATTTTTCATATATGAAGTTTAGATGCAACAACACTCTTCATCTTTCATGAGGACATACTCGTACCACTATAGTATAATCTTCATGGCAGGGATCCACAGAAAAGCACTTAATTGATCTTTTCTGGAAGCAAGTACCTTTAGAGTAATAATGGAAAACCTGGTATTGAGCCATCAGATTACTTGCGCAGGATGCTGCTTAGGTGAGTTTCTGCAAAGTTTACAGATACCGAAGAAGAGAAAGAGACAAATTTTGCAATATTCCTCATCATCAACACAAAGCTAATTAATACTTGTCATTCACCTGGTAAGGTATTTGATAAACCTGTGTATCTGTGATAATGATTGATAAGGAACCAAGTGATACCAGACCACAGCAAGATAAAAGGAGAAAGTTCATAATTACAGCCATTACATTTGAGTACTTAAACTGCAAGCAAAACTACAACTGGACTCTGCCCAAATACTGAGATCTCAAGCAGCAATACAATACATTTTCTCTAAGTGACGTGCCCTGGCCTCTCAGGAGCAGCAGCTTGGCTTTGGCACTACATTCCCCTCCTAAATCCTATTAGGAACAGCAATGCAATGTACTCACACAGGCTTGTGAGACTCAGCCAGAAAAGCACCAGATAACTAGCTGCGATGCAGGACACATCAGACCTGTGTCTCCTTGGCTACACTGCCTGAACTTCCTTGCCTTCTGTTGTTCCTTGTGCTTTGCTGGTTTCCCACAGAGCCCTGTGCCAAGTTTAAGCTGCAGATCTTTACTTCCAGAATGTTACAGCATTTAAGTTATGGATAATCAAAAGTTGCCTCGGGTTGTGAAGCTTCTTGTGCTAGCTGACTGAAGCTGTCAGCAAGAGCCGATGATGGTGTACATTTACTGCAAGTATGGAATTTGCCTGTGCAGGCTCCCAAGCCTCCACGAGGGCAGGACTGAGACCAGAATTTGCTTTTGCACAAACTAAGATGCATCTCAGGGCCGTCTGTTCCCTGTGACAGGTAGAGAGCTCATCTTCAGCCTTGCCTTCAAATGCTATCCAACCTTTCAATTTAAGACCAAAGCAAATCAAACAACATAGATGAAGCTCTCTAGGAAAGCAGAGAGAGAAAATCACAGATTTAAAAGATCAAGTATCATTAGAGTAACCTAGAGGGGCTAAGAAAGCATGATGATAAAGATCGCTTGGGAGTTACTTAAACATGATGGAACAGTGCCAGGCACTTTCCCTAGAGCTGTTAAATGACAAGTAAATCTCTCTTGTATCTTATATCTCTTAAATCTTATATGTATCTTACATCTCAAGTAAAACTGGCCATTTGCTTTCTTAGAATATGGCTTCCTGACTCATTTAGGCAAAACCAGTGTGGGCTGCTGCTGGAAAAGACAATCTAGCCTCCTCCCCCTGCCTCTCGGACTGGTACTGATGAGATGGTTTAGCCAGCTGTACTAGGCAGACAACTTCCATTTTTGTTTTCCTGTGCTATTTTTCAGGCAGACCAGCTTTCTGATCCAGGTAACTGTGACAGCAGAAATACTCCGTTACAGATGGAACAAGCTAGGACTGCCCGTTTTGATGGAGCCTGCAATTGGCTTTCCCTAAACTGTACCTTCAGACACCACAGGATCATGACGATGGGTAGACTTACACACAAAGAAATCGAAAATATTCTAAGCACGTCTTTTGAGAATGCCCCTTGCTTCAACATAACTAGCATTTAGAAATACTTTTAATTTAATATTTGTACAAATAATTATTGAGAATAACTTCCTGTGTGAAGAATTGAGAATAAGTACCTAACTTGAAGTTAGGTACTTAACAGTCTTACAAAACGTCTGTATCTTATGCTATACAAAGCTTTGCAGTTATACATATATGAACAAGCCAACCTCTCGGGAGAGGCAATGAAGCTGTCGGGCTCAGAGCTACACTCAAGACACAAGAGACAACAACCCTGTGTCTATTCCCTGCTTTACATTGAAAGGGTAGTTAGACCTCGAACGTGGGAACCTGGTTCTGCTGATGTTCCTCCTCTTGAGTAATTTGGCCAACCTTGGTGTGTTTGTACCTCTGCTTCTGTCTTTTGCATACCGCAGTGACAGTGATGCTGCTAGTCTCTGAAAGGACCTTTGAGAGCTCCTTGAAGTGTATAAGAGCTCAAAGTTGTTTAAGAGCTAGCTTTAAGTGGTCAGAGAAACATCTCCCTCTCCTCACATAAGCTCCAGAATCACAGAAGAAACCAAAGGGGACAAGTTAACAGACTACTTCCCCACTACAATTTTTGGAACAAAATTGTTATAAAATAATTATATTGTTTTATATAGGCAAGAAATTAATGACAACCAGCTCCAAAATGGACTAACTATACTGCTTTCAAGAATTAAAAAAAAGTAGTTCTACCTTCAGAGTTAAACAGTACACTAGTGGTTACACTCGCTGGAGTTCAGGGACGTTTCCCTGATGTATTCTTTGGAGATGGAGTCCATGCCAGAAATCGCCGATTTGTTTACTGGGTTCCTCAGTACTGAGTAGTATGTAAAGGAAGATGGGATTTGTTCACTGACTTGTGTCGCTGTCATAGGACGATGTTTAACCTAACCATCTAATAATCAAAAAAGTAAAAAACTCTTTAACTGGAAATACATTTTTGCCGTATCAACTGAGTAATATTAATAAAAGCAGCACCACACTCCAAATAAAATATATAAACATAAAACCAGAACTCTGATGCATCTTGTCATTTTTCATACTTCTGGATCTAAAGACAACCCATACATGAACCTTAAAATCACTACACATTTTATAATTATGCAAATCAATAAGAATACACTTTTTTTCCTATGTAAATAATGGGATTTAAAAGCATACTAACTGCTATTAAAAACAAATGTTTTGTAAATTTAGAGATGATTTGAGGTTTTTCATGCTTATTTGTTCCCTGTATCATCCAACAGGAACTGAAAATCTGCAAAATACTGCTAGTTTCAACATGCCTATTATCCAAAATCTTTTAATTATTTGCACTTACAAAATATTTATATTACACATGCCTATAGGCACATTGTATGTAAGGACTGTATAGATTAAAGAGCTAAGCTATTTTTGTGTTACTTACTAATGACCAAACCTGCTGTTTGAGCAAAACTTGAATAGACTGAATTAAATAAAGGACAGAACAAAAGGGAAGCTTAAACAACAGCTTTATAAATAGATTCGTTTTACACTTTACTAAGCAAAATGAAAGTTACCCACACAGTACTTATAACAGATTTCCATATATAATTACTTCTAAGCTGAAATGGGATTTTAATTTAATTTAACCAGTGTTAAATTGAAGATATATGGCAGACAGGAGGCAGATCTGTATACCAAAGGGCCTCTTCCTATTTTTGACCCAAAAATTATTCAATTGTTTTTATATTCTGAAATCTCTTAAATACTGAATATTTAAGTTGCTTTTGTGACAGGAAAAAAATAATGATTAGACTGGAAAGGATAATTCAAATTGAAAGATTTCAAGTATACACTTTTGATCATTCTGCAAATGATTTTTATTATTGCTTATAAGCCACAATCTATAATTTCAGTTAACAGCATTTTAGAGGCTTAGCTAGTGATCCAATGTGTTGAAGGCCATCCTTTCAGTTGTAAATCAACAACTTTTTCATTTATGTTCTTCACTTACGATCTGGAGTGTTGACAAAGGTTGCTGAATGAGTCCTTTAGCATCTTTTTCACAGTATGCTATCAAAGATACTCAAACACGCTGGTTAATGTTCAGCTAATTCCTTAAGTGGAAAGCAGTAAGGGGAATACCACATTGCTAAATAAGCCAAACACTGGAAAGTCTGGACATTTCCAAATATCTAGTTTGTACCGATAACAATTCTAATCATAAGTAGGGAGGAATAATAATAATTAAAAAAAGGCAAGTAATAAAATGCAAAAAAACATTAAGCACAGGGAGAGGTAGTAACTACACAGATGAATGGGTTCTTCATTATAAAATTTCTTGCATTCAAATCATGTTAGCCACGGAAATTTTTAGCCCAGTTTCTTGAGCAAATCATCCAATTAACCACAACCAAGCCACGGCTGCAGTAGGGTTGTTAGCTGACAATGAGGAGCAATATTCAGCCCAGGCCACGTTTCCCAAATTTATTTTTCACTTCTGCTAATGCTGGGATAGGAACATCTCTTTGTATTGGCTCCTCAGGCAGTGTTTGCATGCTGCTTTGCAGAGGCACAGCTTGTGAACTTCTGCCATAGACAACATTGGTTGGTCAGTCATGGATAGCTAACCTGATGTTCATACTTATGCCTTAAAAAGCCTTTTGTAAGAAGATTCAGAGAAAATGAAAACAGCAAAAAATATCTTTCTTGCCTTTATTTTTTTTTAACCACAAAGCATCCAGAAGCATAAAAACACAATAATTATTTCATATGTCTACTAATCTATTTAGTTATTTAGCTGTGATAGAGATAATTAAAGTAATGGAAGAACTGTCTTTAACCAATTAAGAAATTTACTGTCAGTGTGGAAAAATCTTAAAGTGAAAGAAGAGCATTTATACAGAACGTAATCCATTTTCATGGTATTCAGTGATACCTTCACCTGTGCAAATCACAGCGCTAACTTTAGTACTTTAAATGGCTGTGCCTAAATACTGCTTAAATGCTAAATATTGCTCAAGCCCCAAAAGAGTGAGTTAGGTGTGGAAAAAAAAGTCACCCACCCATGACCACCTAGTTCTGGAAGCAGTGAAGTATTCTGACAAGCACATTTGGAACTGGAACGCGCTCAGGTACCCTGGAGATGACTTCAGTGTAGTTGGAGGAAACACCGTGTGATCTCTGAATAACACATAGTTGAGGCATTAAGTCCACTGTACACCCATCATTGTCCTTCAAAA